AATGACCTTTAGAAATTTGGTTTCCCTGCTTAATGTACGTTCCCCACACAATTGACTTTGGTTTACCACTAGATTTTTGCATAGACATATCAATTAGATTAATAGAGGAAGTATTAGAATTTTCTGCCATATTGTGATTTTGAATTTCAAAAACACGTTTAACTAAATTTGTAGCTATCGCTATTTAAAGATATTTAAAATATTTAATCAATCTTTAATCAGTTTATGATAAATTTTTCTTTTTTTTGATTTTAACCTAGGAATCCCAGGATGCACTTTATTATTTATGATAAATTTAATCTCTTTGTGATAAACTTCTTAATACGGTAACAAAAAGAAGTTATAATATATTGAAAACAATACATAAAATGCGTATATGTAATTAACAGGTTTTAATTCTTTTTTTCTTTTTGGAAAAAAAAAAAATTGTTGTCATTCATATGAAATTTTTTAAAATTTTCTTTGCTTGAACCTGAAATTTTTTTTTTAGCATTCGTTAGTAGGTTTAATTCATTTTGTTTGTTTTTAAAAAAAAATAAAAGAGACAAAAATGCAACACACATATATATTAACTTATTTTACATAGAAATCCTTAAACTTCTTTTTCTTAAAATTAAACCTGAAATCTTCTTAAAAATCTATTTTTCATATTATTAATTTCAGATCCCAGCTTTAGCAACAGTTAATTTATCTACAGTATCATATTTGGGTTTTTCTGGTTTTCACAAATCATGCCGTGGGGTTATGGGATTAAGCAATTCTGATTAGATCATGTATCTTTTGAAAAAAGTAATAAAATCTGATCCTTTATATAGTAGAAATTTTGAATCAAAGTTAGCAAATAAATAATAACTGATTAGTGTTTAAATAAAAAATGAACCTTAGAGCCTTTTATTATTTGTATATCTGGCTCAAAGTCTCTAAATTAACAGCATGCGATTAAACATATTCCAGATCCAAATATTAATGATTACCTTTTACTATTCTAGTAGTTAAGGTTTGTTAAATATTCACCATTTTGGCGGTTAAGGTTTGTTAAACTTGTTATTACTTGTTCTTTTTACTTATGCATCTCTATTTATACTAACATTCATATGATAGAAATTTTCCAAATTTAATTACTAACTACGAAGTGATTGATGATTATTATTATAAGCTAATTTAAATTTCTTGATAATCAAAAATCGAATCGATCAATATTTAAGTTTACCATAATACTTGAAATAAAAATTTGAGTTTTCTGTAGGTTGAATTCTTGTACAATTTCATGTGTTGGAAGCTTCTATTGGAAAGACATGTTTATTATTACTTATTCAGAACTTCTGCTAATTAACAAGAATGTTTTTCTGCATAAACTGAATAAATGAGCATATGAGTACTGCCAAGGGAAAACCCTCATCGGGTTTTCAATTATATTTTGTGCTGGACACAGTCTATCTAATTTATTAGAGATTGCATCCGGTACTAGATATAATTGAGAGCCATGATAACAGATGCTTCCTTGGCAGCACTCAATGTACAGGTTTACTTCTAGTAATAAAACGGGCTTATATTAAATTTAGTAACAGCAAAAAAAAAAACAATAGATGACGCTAGGGTGCTAAATCAGGGTAGGGATGTTAAGTAGTCCATGGGGAACTAGTTCGTACCGGGTCCTGAACCAGACTTTTTAGGACAGTTCAGGACCGTTCCAAAACTGGTTAAAATAAGCACATGATATAAATGAGTGTTGTTTTGACATATAAAATAAAATTTAACTATATTTAAATCAAGAAAAATACTGGGTCTTGGAGAAACTAGCTTTATAAATCTTACGATCTCAAGATCAATAATCTGTAATTCC